TGGTCGTACTGTTTGCCAAAAATTGCTACTTTGGCCTCACAATGGCCCATGAAGCCTCTCCCACATAGCCCATGGTACTTCCCGCACAAACTCTCCAGAGTTTGGAGTTTGTAGCTTTAAAGATGTAGCCGTGCATAAGGAACAGACCCATAGAGAGAGATCAGAAGGCTACTGACTAAACCCGAAATTTGTACTCGTACTAAAAGCTGTAATATTAGGACAAACGAGAAAAATTGAAACTCGTTAGAGTAAGGATTATTAACTGTTTGTTTGAAGTTAAGCACAAAGCTACACTTGGGCTATCTATGCTCTGCCAACCTCAGGTATCGAAACCAGGTTTTTAGCATAGTAAGTCCGCAGACATACCGCTGTGCCACTGGGGGCTTATGTTTATGATAGTGTATCTTACCAAAAATTTATTTGGGCACTTAGTTTCCCTAAAAACAAATTCCTTTGTGATATTGTAGTTAACTATTATGGGCATTCACGTTATTAATTTTCCGTAAATTGTAACGTATCTATTTCAAGGACCCCCCCCCAAAAAAAAAAAAAAAACCCTACAGCTAGGATTAATGTTTAGTGAGGAACCTACTGAACTGAATGATTAGTATAAAAATACAATAACAGCAACTTTTACAGTAGGCAAATTCTGATGATGACTAGATTCTTTCAGTCGAAACGTTGTGATTATTAAAATCAGTAGATGCCTACTTTAAAAGTTGCCGTTACTGTATCTTTAAATTAAACTCAATAACGAATTCCTGAAACTAATATTACATCGTTTTATACAGCTCAAGATACCTAATGGTGCAATAATCAATAGTTTCAGCAATTTCAAATAAAATCCTGGAACTTGAAAACAACACTAAGGTGAAATTTATTTAATCTAAGACACACAAGTATATAAATGTGGCCATGCAACGTTTCGATTCCTTACCTAAGCCGTCACCAGGCTTAAGAAAATATCGATAATTAATCACAAGACCAAAAGAATATTATAGTCTATTCTTTTTTGTTCAAATCCCTAAGGGATTAAATAAAGAATATAGCGTTTATAAGATAATTATAAGATAATGTTTCATGACAAGTGTTATTAATTATAATCATGCTTTTGACCTCAATTATACTTGCCATAAAACTTTAGTAGTAGGCCTATTGTACTGTTAATACTATCTTAATGTAGTCCCTTAGGAAGTTTCAATAATTAGAAGATTGTATAATAATACTATTTCAGCCACACTATATTCGTCATATCCACTGCCGACGAGGCGTTTTGCTCAATCCAGAGCTCTTCAGGCCTATTGCGATACAACAAACATGGTAGTAGTCAAAACACTATTTATATAAATCATTTGTTAAAATAACAATTGTTATGGTGTGAACGCCCTCTACAAGATGGAGAAGCACGTATATAATTAATTATATTTATCATAAGACATTATGTTAGGTCTATTGTATCTTTAACGCTACAATCTTAATCTAGTTTTTTAGAGGTTTCAAGAATTAGAAGAGTGTATAATATTAGTATTTTATCCTTACTATATTCGCCACATCCATTGTCGACGACTCGTTTGGCTCAATCCAGCAGTAGTGCAAGGAACACAGTAGTTGCTATAAAACAAATTAAGTGTATAAGAAGACTATGTTATATTTAAGCCAGGGAGATTTAGTTTACGGATAGACCTTCTTTGACTAACACAATTCAAGGTTGGGATTACCATAATATATATGAATCAAAACACCTAAACTTTAAAAGTATAAACCATACAAATGTAACAAACTTATTGTGTCTATAAATACTCGTGTGATGACTGCAAGGCCACCTATACCGAAAAACTAAACGACATTTTTCCATCTGCGTCCACGAGCACATGGGAGTGTAATATCTTTCTAAGTCCACTCATTTCGGCGATTCGAAATCAAACAAATAAAACTGGACATTCAATAACTCGCTCAGGATTCAACATTATTTTTAATGACAATTCCGACCTTGAACTGTTTATAAAAGAAAGTCTATCCATAGAACAAGTCTCTCTGTTTTGAATAGATCCAGCCTTTTTTACACTTAATTTATATTAAAACAACTTTTGCGATAAAATGTTTTTCTAATAAACAACTTTATATATATAATATTTATCTAAACAAATAAATATATTTTTATTTTATTTTCTCTTTTCTATTGATACCATTTATAAATAATATCGTTAGTTAATTTTATTGTTTTCTTGCTTCAAGTGATTAAAACATTCTTTTGGTTTTGTATTTTCTGTTGTTCGTAATTATCGTTAATTTGTTATGCCTGACGATGACCTAAGTAGAGGATTGAAATATTCTAAGGAGAAATTAGGTCTAACAATAGAGAAATAAATCTCACAAACCAAACAAACTTTACACATACAGGCTGGTAATGTAGACAGCGCATACCTAATGAACCTCATTGGGAAAAATGGTTCCGAAATATTAAGACGTATTAGATTCAGATAATTACTCCAATCATACAATCTAAACATCAACCAACAGTGTTTAACTAACCTTTTATTTTTTGTTTTTCGAGCAACCTGATACTGTCATACATAATTTGTCTTCACACAAACAAATGCAGTATGGAAAAAAAAAATCCTACTAGTGAAGGGTCTTTACTAAGTAACAAGCCCCCAGTGGCACAGCGGTATGTCTGCGGACTTACAACGCTAGAATCCGGGTTTCGATACCCGTGGTGGGCAGAGCACAGATAGCCCATTGTGTAGCTTTGTGCTTAATTACAAACAACAACAACAACTAAGTAACAAGTTACAGACTGAATACTATTATCTCTTACAAAGCTTACACAAATGTTATATTTACTCTGTCGCTGAAAATTTTAACCAAATAACAAATTGAATGATAAAAAATAAACAAAGTCACTTCAAATCTAACATAGTCCGAAATATGGGATCTTAAACAACTACGAAACTATATGAATATTATCACTATCACACCTGATAAAGGGAATAGGGTCGTCATTCAGGACCATGTAAGTTATTACAAGACTCAGAACATATTAGATAACACTACTACGCTTAAGATACTGAATGTGGATCACACAAACATACAAAAGACAAAATTACACAGGTACCACCTAAATCTTAAAATAAACAAGGGATCAGTAACGATATTGCTTACAAAACCATTCATCCCACGTGTTCACACTAATTTCCTAACACTCAAAAGGAAGTTTTTCCAGTCAAACCTATTATCTCTGGAGTTGGTAACTTACCAATGTAGTTCCTGATGAAACCAAAGAAATATGTACAAACTTAGTCTATATAGAGAAGAAAACTATTAGTTTTCAAAAATGTGTTATACTTTGTTACCAAACAGTCATATTTTATCGTCAGTAGAAAAACTTATGAACAGCTAGGGGGGGTGCTTTGGGAGCTAAGTTAGCACTAGATTTAGCTAAGTTACTTATTTGTTTTCATGAAAAACTTTGGCTGCAGGACTGCTCATCAGGATGTAATCCTTTATGTTACCACAGATATGTTGTTGACACCTTTACTGTCTTTGAGTATCAGAATCATGTAGAACAATTTGTTATATACCTTAATAAACAACACTTTAATATTAACTCTATGGTAGGATATCCAGAGAATAACAGCATGTTCTTCTTAGATACCCATATCACTAACGCTAACAGTATGTTATTAGTTAGGTTATACCGTAGAATAAGTGTGGGGCTTACACTTCTGAAGTTTAGGTGCTCGTTGATTTGTTCTATCGTCTGGTTGTTGATCCTAGATACTCTTGTCTGTAGCTCGATCATGCATACTGTTCCACGATCATGGAGTTATGTAAGTAGTTGATTCGATCTTTGAACAGAAAGCTTTTAGTCTACGTTGGGATCTGAAAACACAGTTGGGTTTATTATGCGGGCAGGCTCCGTTAATCAGTTTCTTAACTTTTTTTTTTTATATATCATGAACGATGTACTTTCTATGTATGGTAATACTAGGGTCAGTTTCTTATTGGGTACATTATAAGTCTCAGTTGAATAGTGGTGTATTTTTTCCATCACTTTGTCAACCAGATTGGGCGGGTAAGGATTATTGCATAAATATTCTTTGATTTTAAACAGTTCTTGATTCAACACTTCTATGTTATTAATAATAGTGTAAGCTCGATACACAAGTATCTTAATTAAGTTTTCGTTAATTACAGATGGTACCTAACACTTAAAATAAATAAACAATTTCGTGAAGGAAGTATCAAAACACCGAACAACCAACACTTCAAAATCATTCTCAGAGCACAGAATGAGAGAAATCTGAGTACTCTTAAAACTATCACGAAGAAAATAAGGAAACCAGTGATCAACAATCGGGAAAAAACGCTTCCAAAATGGAAGATGTTGTCGAAATTGGCATGTTCGTTGTCACATCCAACATCAGTTGGTTTACAAGAAATAAAGTCTGCGAGTTTCGCGATCGAAACCCGTTACCGAACATGCTCGCCCATTCAGCCGTGGGGGTATTATAATGTGACGGTCAATCCCACTATTCGTTTGTAAAGAGTAGCTCAAGAGTTGGCGGTGAGTGGTATTGATAGCTGCCTTCCCTCTAGTCTATCACTGCTAAATTAGGGGCAGCTAGAGGAAATAGCTCTCGACTAACTTTGAGAGAAATCCAACAATGAATAAACAAACCCTTTATCATTAACATTTCTTAGGTAATTTGTCCATACTCTTTACAGAACATGAAGGTGTTTTAACTTCAAGTTATAATGTTTGTTACGTTAATAATTTCTGTAAAAATGCTCACCACTCGAAGTTTGTATTATATATCTCATATGCTTCGTATAGCTCCTGATCGTAGTGCTACTTGTAAATTAAAATCCCAGCATTTAAGTGTACTTTAAATAATTGTATGATCAATAAATCATATTTTTCTGAGTATGTATTAATTTATACATAATGCTTTATTTTAGATTGAACTTATACAAACACAATACTTTTCTGTTTTCAGCGTATGGAACATAGGGAGCCAATGGCCTGGGTATGTGTTATTTTACTATTTTAAGCTATTTGTACTTTAATTTACCACATTTTTCATTACGGTCGCAGGCTTTCTAACTGTAATATTGACATCTATATTCATCCTTGACTGCTTTTAAAAAAAATGCTGTGTTTATATATTTCCTTGTTACCTCTGCCACAGAGGTTATGTTTTCACCCTTGTGTGTGTGTGTGTTTGTTACCAAGATTTCTCGAAAACGGCTGAATGGATTTGGACAAAAGTTGGAATATGACCCAACTTAGAAGTGATTAGTTCTTGGAGGGTCTAGGTCAAAGTTCAAGGTCACGAATGTCTAAAAATAATCCGTATCCGTTAACATGGGGTCCGATTTTTCACACTATTTTTGCTCAGTCAAAAATGATCGGATTTTGATGAAACTTGGTGGACATGTGTAGAATATTATTCCTCATTGTCCTGCCAAAAATGATCCATGTTCGTTGATAACGACGGACATTTTCGTATTTTTTGAGGGCCGAATATGATCAATGCTGCGTGCCCCTCTAGTTTTGATATGGGAATGAACTACATTATATATTTTTTTTGACTGAATTTCATTATTTTTTATTAACATTTTCTAGATAAGACGCCTTCTATTTTCGTTCTATAAGAACAGGAACATACCTTTTGTGAAAAACATTTGTTTTTATATTTCCTATCATTGTAATAAATAAAAGTGATACAATAAAATGACGTCGGTCAATTCAGCTACGTTTTATATTTTAGATCATAAACCCTCGGTGTTCTGCTGTTATTTTTGTTGACTAATAAAACATAAGCTTAGGCCTCCATCTTTACTGCTATCCTGTATCACAATGTTCTATTCGTACACTGTAATAAACCATCTGGATTTTTCTTGACTGTCTGTATGTATTGACCGCTTGCTAGTCGGCGAAGTTTCTGTTGCTTAGTAACCATCAATTCTATATTGTGATGTTTTGTGTTTACTGTCACCTAGCAACTCTTGTCTTTTGATACTGTTACATATATGTCAAAAGGTTCTTCAATGTATTCTTTGGCAAAAGGTCAAACTTGCAAAAAAATGACTAAAAATATGACTAGGAAATATGTTTCAGAACTCTATTAGAAATCCATTATTAGGAGAAACTACAGCCATAAATTCATGTTTGAAGTAAGATACTATGAATAATTGAATATAGTTTTATTGGGTAAAAACACGATGATATATGTAGACATGTTATTGAAATTATATCATAACTATCACAGAATTAACTGCAAGTACTAAACACTTTATCGTCTTAGTAGTAACACCAAATAATAATGATTATTTTAAACATCATATACATATGTTCATTGGATAATATGAGATTAAATACATTTCTTATAATCTCGTCTTTCAAGTGATTCGTCTAACTACAGGTTTTTGAGCACATTTGCTTGATATCTCAATGATTTATTTTATAACAATGAATACAATAATTATTTTAAATTGTTTTTCGATATGTTCTTCAGATTACAGTATCTAACAAAATAAATACATTTGTCTCTGTATTGGCGATTTGTTTTAGGTAGCAGATGATGCAGAAAATGAAGAAATGTCTTGCAGCTCCCTCTGGTGTTTTGATAGCGAAAACCCATTCATGTATGATAAGGAGCTAATTCCTGATGATTCTCTATATTTTTCAAGCACCTCCAATAAAAATTACAATAATGAGTAAGTAAAAAAATAAACTTAAATCTTCAGATTATATCATTGGTTAAGATGCCGGACTGGGTTTAGAGTTCGCGTCCCGTTGTCAAACAAATTGCGCGCCGCACTTTAGATGGAGCCAAGGATGCATTATAAGAGCGACGCTCAAACAAGAGTTGACGGCAGATGCCGTTGATTGTTGAAAAAAAGTAGAAAACTGAATTAATAACCTGAATATATTTTGAAATATAGCATGTTTTTATTTGAAATACTATTTGTATTTCTATTATAGCAAAACGATAATTCGTATTCTAGAGAAAAAGTATATTTTTTTCACATCAGTAAAACGATTGAAGTAAAATACTGCTACGATAAAATAAAGTGCAATGCATATTCATTGTTAAGGTTTGATAAATTGTGCATATGGTTTCTTTTTTATTGCAGATGTGGTCTGAAAATGGGGTTATAATTTATTTAATATTTCATCTACAGAAAATAAATACTTATATTTTAAGGAACAGCCTTGGAAAATGAATGGTATGTTAAATTGTAAAGAGCTAAAGGGTATTTGTATTTTACTCATAAAAACAAAATCTGCAAACACAATACTACCTTTCTACATTGACCATTGCATGCTAAGTTCTTATTAAATTTATTAGCAGTATGATATTCGGCATGTATGTTGATTTTCTATTGTTAACAAAGGTTAAAAAGAAAGACACATGTCTCTTCCCAAACTGCTGTATGCGTACTAAACTCTGTCTGTATTTTTAAGAACAGCTAAACTGAATTGTGAAATATAGGATTCAGCGTATTTCTGTCATGCGCCATTAACTAAGATTTTCAAAATCGGAATGTGGTTAGTAATTCCATACTTTTTCTTCTTCAATATACACTTTCAAAAGCGTCGTGCTGGGAGTACTGTATAATTTTTAAGAACCCTGATAAATATTGTATACACGAGAATATTAATATTATATAAACGAAACTGTATAAAGTATGCAGTGTAATAAGATGTAATAAAATGAATATTTCTTATAGTTTTGTTTTATAAATTTTGACATTAGTAAATTTTATTGTACAGAGCTCTGATAAAGTTTCGTAACGTGTTCGAACATCAAGAAAATTAATACGATTCGTCATATAGCAATAATTCTTAATGGATAATACCAATGAGCCCATGAAAACAGGATACCGTGGTCAGCGGAAATTGTCGAACGAGGTCGTTTATTGCTCATTGTAGTCTCTATTCATTTCAAAGATGACCTACATACTTGTGATAACAGGATACATTGCTTAACGAAGTGTCCAATATTCAACATGGCTACATGTTGACGGCTGACCCATCTGATTATTGACTAAGCAGTTACATAAAGTAAGTTATGTATCGTGAAACGTCTGTTATTTTGACGGAGTTGACAGATGCCAGAAATGGTGGCCTCATCAAGCAAATAGCGTCCTCTAGTGACCATTTCTGCTGACCTCAAATTCGTGTTCCTCGTTGTATCATTAGTATACCCACCAAAAATTATTGTTCTATATCGAATAATATTATTTTACTTATGTTAGAACCCGTCAAGAGACTTACAAGAACCTGATGATGCCACGTTAACAGTGGCAAAACGTTGTTTTTTTAAATGATGCATTTGTTTTCTATCCCATTTTAGCTGTTTTTGAATTTTAAATTTTGTAGAATGTAGGATAGCTCCAACACTTATATTTATAAGAACCTCGTATATCACAAGATAAGATATCTATGAGGTTAGTAAACCGATTTCTGGTAGACGTCGCTTTCATCTGTTTAGAATATGATCACAAAAAATTCGAAATTAAATAACAACAAAATAAAAAAAGTTAATTAGTTAGTTTGTTTGTTTTTGATATTAGCGAAAAGGTATACAAGAAGTATCTGCGCTAGCCGTCCTTAATTTTGAACTGACAGACTACAGGAAATGGAGCTAGTCAACAGCACTCGCCGTCAACTCTTATGCTACTATATTTAACCGTCACTTTTATAACGCATTCATGATAACGGGTAGCGAGCCATGGATCATCGGATTCGGAATGAGACACGCTAGCCCTAGGTCACGTCCAGCCCATGAATAAGTCCTTACCATTTGTCAAGTCTAAGGGCATATGAGACACTAGCAGTATTTTCTGTTAGTGAACTAAGATCTTTGTTGTCTTTTGATTATATAATTATAGTTATTTTATTCTTAAAGACTGTAATTTGTGGAACAATCGAATAATTTATTCTTGTTCCAGGATACTCTTTTAAAAAATCTCAATTATGCATATGTTAATATCATTTGATACCATTAACAATCAATTAGAAACTTTAAAATTAATGGGAACTTTAAGTTAAAAAACACCATTAAGCAACGTACTTAGATTCAATAATATTTGCAGAAACAAACTAACAACTCATAATAATTTACTAACATCAGATGTTCGCTGTTCAATTTCAGTAATGAATGATTATAAATTTATTGATAAATTAGTTCACCATTTGAAGTATTAAAGACAGGATACTGAAAACTCACTTACGTTTTCTAAATTTCAAAGCTTAAGATGCTGATTTTAAGTATTGAAACGATACAGCAGTAATAAAATAATGGTGGTTCTGAAAATACCTTCATTATTAGTTTCCATCTTTTATAACGTAGGTTTTGTTTTTTAAAAACTGTTGCGTTTTCAAATCCCACTATTGCTGTTGTTATTATATAAGTTCGTTAATTTTTAAACAATTTTAACCTGAATGGCACTTTTGCAACGCATGGTCTAACCGGTCAGGTTAGAGATCCCTAGGTCATTTTGAACTGAATTACGAGTTGATTGTCACTAGTATAACGCGACAACACTTGAAAGAGAGGTGTTCAGTGACATCACATCTCAAACCTTGAACCCTGTGATTCACAACCCATCACTCTAACTACTAGGCCACGCCTGACTCACATATTAATTTTAAAGGACTAAGTGAAAATGACATATTGGTAAAATAAAATAAAACTTAAGTAATTAGAGTTGAAATAAAACGAACATGTTTTAAAACACATGTACTGGTCGTCTGACTTTACTGACATACTTGCACTGATGAGAGACAACAGAAAAAAAATAGAATCAAAACTTATAGTCAAGCTACAGAAAACACACCACGGAAGATCCTTTACCACATTATGAAGAAAAAGGGGGGGGGTAGTCTGTAGACAGGATAGAAGAGACACAGCTCAAGAATAGTTTTTGGTCATAACAGATCTTAATTTTCCATACAAATACAGGGACTAAGATAATTAGGATTTAATAATTATATAGATAATTTATATCTTACTAGTTGATGTATGCCAGTTCAACTCACGGGGAATACATAGGGGTCTTCGACGGGTGACATAGGGAATCAGATCCAAGCGCCGCCTCTAAGGATACATGCCTGGACTTTTGTCAAGTAATGGTTCAGAAGAAAATGAGGGTGAACATATGGTGTGATATGTCACATAAACAGTCCTACGTATATGTTACTTATTATTTCTTTAGGTTTCATGTGGTCGAAAAAGAATCTTTCTTGACATCCGCCCAGCGCAGCCGCATTGTATGGGAAGTGTTAATGAGGACGCCTTATGAAACAGATTCAGGTTCAAAGACAGGTAGGTTAATAAAATTGAAGAATATTAGTAAAGAATATTAACTTTTAACGTTCCCAAATAAAACACCCATAAAACTTTTTTTTTGTCTGTCATTATACGATCGGGGGAAACTGGAGATCTTTTTAAACTCAAAAGTGCTTGTAAGAATAAGTGCTGATAATTTTTCAGTGTAGCGAAAACTATAAGATGACCAACATCTAATGAAAATGTCATAGAAAATTTCATTCAGCGCTCGGTGTAGATTTTGCAGGTTTGAGCATTTATTTGCTGGCAAGATCTTAATTGACTGCTCCAAACTACAAATAAACCTGACTGCTACAACAGGTCTCCTGTTGTCCTAAAATTCTATGTTTATATTTTTAAAAAAATGCTTAATGTATTGGAAAAGTATCTGGTGGAAAGGGGAATCAATTATCTAGGGAACAACTGGTAGAGATTGTAGGATAAACTCATAAAGATGACATAACTTTTCAGAAACATTGTGATTCTTGGTTATTTCTATGCTAATATAGAATAATTTTGTAATTTTTGCATTAAATAAATGATTATCAAGTGTGAGATACATTTACTGTACTTTTATTGGTCATAGTTCTATTAGTTTTTCGTCTCAAGAGTCACAGTATCGTCAGTTGTTTATTTAAAAAAACAAATGTAAAATTCGATGGGTATCCTTTAGAGTGGGAGTAATCCACACAGGTTAATAGAATATAAGTTAGCTTACAAATTAAGGAGAAGCGGAAAAACAGATCCACGTTTCAATGCTGCTTATGAATAGAAGTAAATACAAACAGTAATAAAGAATTCTCAAGATTCTAGTGACTGCTAATCATCCTTAACTGTGAAAGGCATTGAACCAATATAGAAATCACAAGAGATTTATCGTTAGTTTCGTGGTACTCCTATAGATTGTTTGTTTGTTATTTATTTCGCGCAAAGCTACACGAGGGCTATCTGCGCTAGCCGTCCCTAATTTAGCAGTGTAAGACTAGAGGGAAGGCAGCTAGTCATCACCATCCACCGCCAACTCTTGGTCTACTCTTTTGCCAACTAATAGTGTGATTGACCGTCACATTATAACGCCCCCACGGCTGAAAGAGCGAGCATGTTTGGTGTGACGGGGATTCGAACCCGCGACCCACAAATTGCGAGTCGATCGCCTTAACCACCGGGCCCACTCCTATAGGGGCGTTTGTTTGTTTGTTTGTTTTTAATTATGCACAAAGCTACACAAGGGCTATCTGTGCTCTGCCCACCACGGGTATCGAAACCAGGATTCTAGCGTTGTAAGTCCGCAGACATACCGCTGTGCCACTGGGGGGCCCTATAGAGGCGTGTTATTTTACCAAATGAATAATTTAACAGTGTCCTTTAACGATATTATATGGTATGACCAGTATTTTTTTAACTATAGGTTATTAGACATTTGTTAATTTAAATATTTGCAATTTTTTATCGTGTTTATTTATTTATATTTTTTTACTATTTTCTAAACTAAATTGTTTAACCGTAAAATTCCCGATGAGGATCCATATAAACTCCATTGGCTTTTTAAAAAAATATTTTTCTAAAGTATTTAAGCACCAAATTTTAGTGGTTTCATGGTTCCTAATAAAATATGAGTCAAATAAATTACAACAAAACTTTACTATCAATATTGCAATTAATCCTGCTGTGTGTTGTAATGTAACAGGGAAGAACAGAAAAATGCCAAGCAATGTGATGCAAGATACGGACCTCACGGTAGTATATGGCATAGAAACAAATCGATGTCTAAGAGATAACAGCATTTGAAGTAATCGAAATGTTTAATGTGTTTAGTATTTTCCTACTACTCGTGAAAAAGCCGTATTTTAAGTCTTGACATTTGGAAAACTGTCAACAAACAGGCGCCACTTTCCTTTTCTCACACTGAATTGTTGTGTAACACGTTAAAGCATATCGAACCATATAAAAGTATTTCGATACTTCATTTAGCCTATAGACGTGACGTCACATTTGTTTGATACCTGATTAGACATACAGCGGCTGTATTTTCCATGACATCACAATTGTTTTGACAATATTTTGTCTGTCTTTTCAGGTATTATGCGGCTGCTGAATAACGGAATTTACCTGTCTGGTTATCCTCTACATGATGTAAGTGTTGAGCATCTATGCCACAGTTCTGTCTTTCTGAAACCATGCTAACTGTTGAGGTTAATATTCCATGTAAAACAATTCGAGACAATATTTCTGATTATCTTTGTTACTAATTCTCGAATTAATCATCCAGTCAGAAATTATTCAAATAAACTAGCACATAGGAGTTTAATCAGTTTTATGAAACTTATACTTTTAATATATATATATACTGGAATTGTTTCTAAATCAACAGTATAAACCAATGGCATCAATATATCTAAACCAATGTAAAATATTAAATTAGCATAAAAGCTAAGTTGTTTAAGTAGTTATGGCCCATATTACCTTGCATAGATACACCAAGTCACCTGAACTGAGTTAGGGCCGCGTTTCGCCTTGTAGTTACCACGCTAGGATGCCATTTGGAAGATCAAAGGCTCGAGCCACGATATGCTTCTAAACGTGTTCTGTATTTTCAGTTCTGGAGACATTAAGATCGTGACAATTAGACCCGCTAGTTGGTTAAAATAGTAGCATAGGCGGCAGGCGCTGCCGAATGGTTTCACTCACTCTGATCAGCAGTTTTAAATAATGGATGATTGTAACCCAATCATGCAGTCTCTGACCTTATCACTCAGTCTATGTGTTGCATAAAATTCCGTTCAAGTTAAAGATAAGTACAGTCTGAGCTAAGTCTGAGGTTTGATAGTGTACACCCAGAAATGTCATAAATAATGTGCTCGTGAGGTGAAGAAAGTAGCTCATAACCTCTCAAAGTAAATTGCACGAAACTATCCACAGAAAGTTTTATTATTTTAATACTCAATTAATGTATGTTTCTTTTCCAATTACACTCCATAAGTTTCACTATAAATAAAATAATAAAACGAAAATCAACGTTTTTTACTTGCACAATCATTTATTTGTAAAGATTTAAAAAAGTTAAAAGAAACTTAAACTCTACACAAGAACAGTCTGTTTTACGTATTAAGTTTCATTATAATGTTGTTTGCGGAAAATAAACGTGTTTCATGGGACAAGCTAATAATCAAATAAACATACTTGTGTATATTAAATATAGAAACTCAAATTTGTATCTTTGAATCATTGTTTTTAGAGCAAACATTGATAATTTAATTTGATCAATTATATAAGATTAATTTCCGTTAGTTGTACATCTGTATAAATGCTAATTTGTCTTTTTTATTATCAAATTTATTTTTTAATTGTTTCTTCTTTCTTTACTTACAATGACGAGAGGTTAAAACAGACACTGCTTAAAATGAGGTCAACTTTGTCGTATAATCAAAACAGTGGAGCTGTTCATTTTTAATATTGATTTGGATTAGATGTCACGAGTGAGAATTTGCAGAAATATTAAAGTTTCATTAGCTATTAGATTTTAGTAGCTTGAATTTGAATGTGTTCAGAGTCTTCTTAAAGTAAGACAGATCTCGTGATTTTGATTATTTACATGATTTTTCCACATCAGTATCCGGATTCCATCAAACTGTTACAAAACAAATACAATATTATTTGAAAAGTGTTTTTGGTGTACAAAACATGAAGATAGCTTTTATATGCGGAAACATCTGTTAGCTGAGTTCTTGCACAGATCTTAAAATATAACGTTGATAAACGGAAACATCAGCACGTGTAGATATGTAGATCTTGAAAGTCGAGTTGTTCAAAACTTGAAAATAGCGTTGATAACTGGACCAATTGTTGGTTGAGATGTTGAAAAGGAAATATCTGCTGAAGCTTTTCGCCAGACACTAATCATAGCAGAAGCGTCTGGAAAATGATCTATAAGAAATAGTGCAGCTTATAAAATGAGTCAGATCAACGTAGGCCGGTAAGGCAATCACTGATTGGCATGTCTTTAAGCCAATCAGGAAATATAAGATGCCGTTCAAGTGAAAAATACCTATTACAATCTAGAATTAGTCCCAAGTTAATAAAGAAAATCAATACCATTATAAAACTCTTATTGTCAAACGATAAGCAAAATAAATAAAATACAACAAATATAATACAATATAATAAAAAATCAATAAATTATTAGTGATTAATATAACTTACAATAAAATGAAAACAATGGGATACCCGTATTCTGCCCACCAAAGGCATAAGTAAACAAAACAACTTAAGCATAAAATCTAAAACTTTAAACTTTTCAATTCACGAAGTGCATAGATTAGAAGGTAATTTATATATTTTAATTTTACTTTTACTTGTTATTATATTTCTGATATTTACATCATTTACATACTTTGTTTTTGTAATATTTTCCACGTTAATATTTAGTCTATGTTTTTGATGTAGGCAGAGAAATTGCCTCTTGTGAACTACTTATTGGAGTAAATATATGGTCGCAAATCCAATAACTTTTGTTTTCAATAGCTTGAAGACAATTTACATTATTTTCACTTGTATTACAAGTTGAAGCACCGTAGACGTTCAAATAAAAGTTTTATAAACTTTCATAATTCTAAATATATCACAACTATCAATATGTCTTTCATAAGTTAAACACGTTTTAAATCTTTAATGTGAACTTTACTATTAAAATTTTATAAAAATGAATTTCACAAAATTTAGCACAGTTTTCAAATTTTATTATTCTACTATAAATAACAGTTGCAATATTTTAAAACTTTTCAAACACGTTTTTTTCCTCAACATTTTCAAAACATAGCCCAATTAATATTGTCAAGATCTAATATAACCTTCCATAAATCACCCCAAAGTGGCAAGTTAATCAATACAAACTAGAGATTCTGAATAAATTTTTCAAACAAGTGATACAATCAGTAAAGTGAGGTCCAGCATGGCCAGGTGGTTAGGGCGCTCGACCCGCAATCTGAGGGTCGCGGGTTCGAATCCCCGTTACACCAAACATGCTCGTCCTTTTAGCCGTGGAGGC